TTGAGTATAAAATTTTGTTCTTGGTTATTAATGTAGTTATGTGCTTTATTTTTATTAAAATGACTTTATTTTCAGTCTCTATTTGCTTTTTGTATTTTAAACATTTCATCATTATTCCTCTTATAAAGGCACCCATCACCCGGTTCGTTTCTAAAAACTTGTAATATCTTTATCTATATCTTTTGACTTCATACCAGCTTTGGTTAAAATTTCAATACGTTCTTCTTCTAACTTTAATGCATCCTGCTAACAAGGAAAAGTCTTCTTTGGATACTGATATACCCATATTTGCGACATTATGATAACATTCGTAATTTGTTATTGTTCTAACGATGTCAATCTAGTATGAAATCATGCCATCAGCAGTTGGTTGATCTTTGGCTCATTTAAATAATGTCAAAAGATCGTTCAAGTTTCATACATATTTTAAAATTCCAATATATAAACCTCCACCTTTGCCATAAAAATCATGAAAATTTGTTCACATCTAACCAACATTTTTCTCTTCATGAAATACAACCTAATCATACTCATCATCTTTAGCATAACAATTGGCCTTTTTATGTCCCCTATTGAATATAAATACGTTTAAAAAATATACTTTGGCAAAAAATTAATTGTATGTTCTTATGTTCTAATAATTCTATATGTATTATGTAGGCCATACAGTTTCGGTCCATAACAAATTGTGGTTAGGTACATTGCCAGAATTTACAATCTGGAAGTTCATGGGCTCGCCATGGTTTTCATATTGATTTATACGATTTAATAACAGATTACAGTCTAACATTCTCTGTCGAAGCAACAACTGAACAAGGTAAACATTATGGACCATTCAATAATGACAAGGATACTGAATGGAAATTCAGTGGTAGTATAGATAATTGGTACATAAAACAGTTATCCTAGTAATATCACCCCTTTATCTCTTTATTAATTTCTACATCACTAAGAAATTTTCATATTAACTTAATCATAATTATGTAAACAATTAATTTGAGATGCGCCATTGGGTGAGCGGTCAACTATGTAAATCATGGCATTATTACTATTTGAATTATTATACAGTAATAACTATAAATAATAATTACTATTTTATTTATTGGCTATTATAACTTTTTTACTCATACTAGTATAAGGAAGTTTTTATAGGGCATTAATTTGAAAGTTTAATAGCATTACAAGAATAACAAATGTAACTGAAATATGTGTGAGAATGGATGAATATAAAAAAAAGTAATAAAAAAAAAAGAAAGTTCTCCTAGGCACCTAAAAATGTGTGAACTATTTTCTAATATTGTGGTCTATATAAAAGCGATTCACTATTAGGTATCTATTATGATTTAAAAAAAAAAATCAATTAATAGTTTAATTAAACTTCCTGATATAGTTTTTATTTAGATAGCTGACCATGAGATATTATTATACATGACATATATTTCTTTTTATTTTTTTTTTTATTATTTTAAGAAAGGCAGAAAACTTCCGATACGATACAAAATTACAGAGGGAGAAAATCACATACTAACTATGGATTTGCAAATTTAGGTTGATTTTATATTCTATACATGACATATTACGTAATGTGGAAAAGATTATTAACCAATTAAATTACAATATTAGATCACATGAATTTTTATGGCCTTAATTTTTTACTCGAAATTCATATGGGCGGATTTGGCTTACTTGATGATAAAATTAACGCCAAAATGATCGACATTCATCAAGTGAGCCCATATGTTAGGTATGGTAAAAAGCCAACCGAATTTTCCACAAAAAAAGTTTCTCAAATTGGTGACGTTGCCGCAGCAATTTATCATTTTTCTGAAACCATCATTTAAAATAATTTAAAATTTAAAATAATAGTAAAAACAATTTTATTTATTTATTTCTTCCACAATTTTTTTTTTTTTTTTTGGCGAAAATTAAAACATATATAAACATCCCTTGCACAGATGGATGGTAATTGTGCGTAGGTTTGCTTTAAGTCATTTTGTACGGACGATCGATCGAACGAAAATGTTGACATTAACCTTAACATAAAATTAGATTTTGAACAGTTTCCTTTTAAGATTCCCACTACCAGTTTTGCCATCGATTTCTGGTTTAAGTATTGGCTTTTCCTTTTTATTTTTAATCTTTCCATTTTTAACAATAACAATCAGTTAGTTAATCTTTTAGTGGTTTATTATAATTTTAATTCTGTTATTTTAGTACGTAAACCTAATTTTATCGTCTTTGCCGATCATTTCCAAGGTGGATTAAAAAAAAGATATTCAAAACTACATTTATCACTCTACAATAATTCATTATACACATAAAAATTTATAGCAAAAATAATAAAAATCATAATATGAACAAGTACAAACATTATTATATAGACCAGTAAAACATCAAATCGTCTTTCATAAGATATATAGTATTTAAGACTTGCAAGTGCAATACCTCATATAACTAAATACCAAATATGAAACGCCATAAACTATTTTTTGATATTATTATAAAACTAAATGATATCTTTTCCAAGGAAGATTATAATGTATTGTTTATTTCATCATAAATCATTAATTAAATTATTTTTTTTTAGGTGATTACGTCGGTCGAGTTATAACCATGACCGTCGCCTGATCACTTGAACAACCCGTTTAACCAATTAATATCTTATGTCAACTTATTAATATTTTCACTTTATAAATTAAAAAGAAATTTGAAATTTCTTAAACTGTAATAAATTGTAGAAATGTTGGTAATCCGAAATGACATTTTTTTTTAATTTTTGTTATGTGATCGGTATATCCAGTTCATAAACGGTCAATACCAAAATTGCCAACATTTCAAGTTAATAAAAATATCTCTAACGAAGAAACATGAAACAATCAATATATATTGATTGGGATCGAGTCGCTTATTATCACATCTTATATTCATTTTGTGCTTTGTGCTTGAATTTCTATTTCAGTTGTATTCTCATTTAGTTTCCTTTTTTGTTGACATTTTGATTTTATGTATCTTTATCATTTTTTTGTCTAATAAATTAAACTATAGTAAAATAATTTTTATATTTTAAATATGCAGATTCCATATTGAAATCAAAAAAAAATTGGAACTAAATGATTGCAGAATTTTATAATGATTCGGATAATACCGAAAAAATTTTAAATTTTGAATATCTTTTACATTTAGAAATTGTGAGCATGTAGCACATTACACATAGTATTCATATCTTAAATTTTATATTTGCTACATTCGTATTAATCAATTGTTTATAATAAGTGTGAAACTATTTCGGTTTAGTTAATGTTTAAGGAAACTATCAAACTAATTCAAAATCCATTCGTTCTTCTTCTTAATCGATTGCTGGCGATATTTATAATTATCTAAATTTGATATAGTAAGTTATATATTTTATAAAGTTATATCTAATATAAGTTACATAAGAGATAAGTTATTTTAAATATAAGTTACAGAAAATATTGTTATTATTTAGAATGCCAATCATGATATCGGTTGTGTCACGTGACCTGTCCCAGATCACGTGATTTGACTCCGCTTTAGACGACCCCGTGTTTAGACACATCCCTCCATAGGTTTATTTTTTGACACCAGGATGGCGCTGTCAGATTTGGTGGTTTGGTACACGATTTAATTTAGAATCACTTTAGGCTTACGAATAGTTTGTCCCTGTAATTTGTATCATGACTTTGTTCACATGGAAATTAAAAATAAAAATAAAAATAAATATAATCAATTTCGGAAAAACTAAATTATACCAGCTCAAAATAGCAAGGTTGAATGGGAAATTCTATAATGTAATTTTAATTGTTAGTTTATATTTATTTTAAAAAAAAAATACTAATTATTTATCTGGTTATTACTAAAAAAATCAATAAAACTATTACTTAATAATATTAGAATGACGCCAGTTACCAGGAAGCAAATAAAAGTAAATTTTTTTTATAATTTGAAACCAACTATTACTAATTAATATTAGTAAATGTCAGTTACCAAACATAAAGAAAGAGCAAAGTCCAATCTATTGTTGGAAAAAAATTTCTAATGAAAAAAAATCTGATCTGTTAAAAAATTTCTAAATTAAAAAAAAAAATCCTAAAAATAAATAAAAATTTCTAAATAGTTTATCATTAAAAAATAACTGTTGTTAAAAAAAATATATATATATAAATAACTAAACGATCTATTAAAAAAATAAAAAAAGTTACTAAACGATCTATTAAAAAAAAAATAATAATAAATTATTAAATGATCTATCATCAAAAAAAAATAGATTGTTAAAAAATAAAAAAATTAAATGAAAAAAAAAATCCTGAAGTTAATCTATTATGGTTAAAAAAAATAAAAATAAAAAAATTACTAATAGTAAAAAAAAGAGCTATATTGATTTTAAAAATTTTACAATTTATTATTAATAAATTAATTGTCTATTAGTACTTACTGGAAACTAAAAAATAATTTAAAATATTTTATATTATATATTAGTAATCAACATGGATTTGCTGATCAACTACTATATGAATATGGAATAGTTCAGGCGCAGACAAATCATGTGTTAGACAATTCAAAATTATTTATACAGACTAATCTAAACATTAGGTAATCATCCATTATAATACCTTATAAATCTTTGATCTAATAGATTTCATATGTCAATTGAAGTATCTTCTTTAAGGACATCTCTTTTATAAATAAAATAAAATTAATATTACACAATTATACATTATTATATAATACATTTCAATTTACGCAGATCAATTAGCAGTGACGAAGTCACTGCACCTCTAGTTTTATATAAAAATGAATGATAATCATTTCATTGGTGCTTAATAACTACTTAAAATGAAATGATTAACCAGTTACTGCAATTTTGTAATAATTGATCTACATTCTGGTTTGTTTGTCACATATGCAATGATGCAATGCTTGTACTTGTAAATTGTGATCACCATTTTTGCACATAATGTATTTTGCATAAATATTGTTACCTAATAAAGGCGCTCAATAATAAAAAAAAAGAAAGAAAAAAAGATATTTACTTTATCTTTTCCAATTAGAGATAATTTTGATATAGTAATGGACAAACATATTAAAGGTATATCAAATAAACTGAAATATTAAGTTTTTATTTATAAACAATTCATGTTTAATATTTTATATAATTCAACTAATTATATTCTTAATTTAAATAACTAGATTGTAAGTAATATATATATAATTTACAATAATTACTTTTATATTATCTTTATATCTAACTAATTAATAATTAATAATACTATAGGGTGTAAGTTATATGATATCTATATTTATATTATTTGTACAATTCAATCTAACTAATTTTTTTATTTAAAAAATTATTAAATAATATAGATGGTAAGTTATTTATTTAATTATATTATTACTTATTGTTATAATATTTACATATAATTTAAACTATCTAATTTCTTTATTTAAAAAATTATTAAATAATATAGGGTGTAAGTTATTTATTTAATTCTATTATTACTTATTGTTATAATATTTACATATAATTTAAACTATCTAATTTCTTTATTTAAAAAATTATTAAATAATATAGGTTGTAAGTTATTTATTTAATTCTATTATTACTTATTGTTATAATATTTACATATAATTTAAACTATCTAATTTCTTTATTTAAAAAATTATTAAATAATATAGGTTGTAAGTTATTTATTTAATTCTATTATTACTTATTGTTATAATATTTACATATAATTTAAACTATCTAATTTCTTTATTTAAAAAATTATTAAATAATATAGGTTGTAAGTTATTTATTTAATTCTATTATTACTTATTGTTATAATATTTACATATAATTTAAACTATCTAATTTCTTTATTTAAAAAATTATTAAATAATATAGGGTGTAAGTTATTTATTTAATTCTATTATTACTTATTGTTATAATATTTACATATAATTTAAACTATCTAATTTCTTTATTTAAAAAATTATTAAATAATATAGGTTGTAAGTTATTTATTTAATTCTATTATTACTTATTGTTATAATATTTACATATAATTTAAACTATCTAATTTCTTTATTTAAAAAATTATTAAATAATATAGGGTGTAAGTTATTTATTTAATTCTATTATTACTTATTGTTATAATATTTACATATAATTTAAACTATCTAATTTCTTTATTTAAAAAATTATTAAATAATATAGCGTGTAAGTTATTTATTTAATTCTATTATTACTTATTGTTATAATATTTACATATAATTTAAACTATCTAATTTCTTTATTTAAAAAATTATTAAATAATATAGGTTGTAAGTTATTTATTTAATTCTATTATTACTTATTGTTATAATATTTACATATAATTTAAACTATCTAATTTCTTTATTTAAAAAATTATTAAATAATATAGGTTGTAAGTTATTTATTTAATTCTATTATTACTTATTGTTATAATATTTACATATAATTTAAACTATCTAATTTCTTTATTTAAAAAATTATTAAATAATATAGGTTGTAAGTTATTTATTTAATTCTATTATTACTTATTGTTATAATATTTACATATAATTTAAACTATCTAATTTCTTTATTTAAAAAATTATTAAATAATATAGGTTGTAAGTTATTTATTTAATTCTATTATTACTTATTGTTATAATACTTACATATAATTTAAACTATCTAATTTCTTTATTTAAAAAATTATTAAATAATATAGGTTGTAAGTTATTTATTTAATTCTATTATTACTTATTGTTATAATATTTACATATAATTTAAACTATCTAATTTCTTTATTTAAAAAATTATTAAATAATATAGAGAGTAAGTTATTTATTTAATTCTATTATTACTTATTGTTATAATATTTACATATAATTTAAACTATCTAATTTCTATATCTAAAAAATTATTTGTAATTTATTTTAGTTGGTAAGTCAATAATTTATTTATTTAATTCTATTATTACTTATTATTATAATATTTACATATAATTTAATCTATCTAATTTCTTTATTTATTTAATAGATCGTAAGTTATAAGTTATTTATTTAATTCTATTATTACTTATTGTTATAATATTTACATATAATTTAATAAACTAACTAATTAAAAATTATTTATGATCTAGCTTGTAAGTATCTTTATTGTTATATATTTTTTAAATATTTATTTGTTAACTTAATTCCTTCATTTGAAAAATATCTGTTACTTTAGTCGGTAAGTTGTAAATCATAGGTTATTATATATATTTATCTAAGAATTAAAACTCATATTACATTAAATTCCTATTTAAATTTTAGAGTAAGTAATAATTTATTTTGTATAAATTATAATACAATCTATAATATAATTTTAATTATTTAAATTTATAGATTTGGGAAAAGTGGAAATATAATTATAAATAGTTTTATTATTGGAAAAAGATTAAGATGGATTCCTTATGACAAATTTAAAAATGTTGTATATCTTAATGAAGGAGGATTTGGTACTATATACAGAGCTATTTGGTTAAAGAATAATGGAGATGAAAAAGTAATTCTTAAATGTCCCAAGAATTTAAATGAAGATTTAAATGAATTTTTAAAAGAAGTATGATAGTATATTATTTTATATTTTTGATTTAAATTAAAATTTATTCACCTTAATAATAATTGTTATCTTTTATAGTGGAAACATCATACAAGTGTTTTTAGTTCAATTGATATTGTAAATGTTTATGGATTCACAAAAGATCCAAATACTTCAAAATATATGGTAGTAGTGGAGTATGCAAATAAAGGTAATTTAAGAGAAAATTTAACAAGAATAGTCAAAAATAATTGGAATCAAAAATTATATATGTTGTATGAAATTATTTCTGGACTTTGTAAAATACATGGAAATAATCTTATTCATTGTGATTTTCATGATGGTAATATTTTAAATCATAATGAAAAGAATAAGGATAAAATTTATGTTAGTGATTTAGGATTATGTCAACCTATAAAATCGGTTTTGGAAGAGTATGATATTTATGGTGTTATACCATTTATGGCTCCTGAAGTTTTAAGAGGCAAATCTTATACTCCAGCTAGTGATATATATAGTTTTTCTATGATTATGTGGGAATTTACATCCGGGGTACCACCATTTAATGATAGAGCACATGATCTTCAACTTAGTTTAAGTATTTGTGAAGGTGAACGACCTGAAATTATTGAAAATACTCCACAATGCTATGTAGATTTAATGAAAAAATGTTGGAATGAAGATCCATTAAACAGGCCATCTGCGTTAAAAGTGTTAAGTATTATTAAAAATTGGATTAACTATCCTGGTAGTTATAAATTCAGTGAAAAATTAAAAAGCAACATTATGGAATTTATAAATGCACCAATTGGGCATAACAATCTTACTACTAAATCTCATCCTAAAGCATATTTTACAAGTCGCTTACTTGATTTTACTAGTAAAAAATTAAATGAAATTCTTGAAAGTGAAAATTTGAATGATTATATGATTAAAGATTAGGTATGCAATATAGTACATATAAAATTTAATCTTGCAAATTATTTATACAAAATTAATTTCATTTTATTATATTAAAACAGATGAAAATTAACCAATTATATGTGTTTTAAAGTCTTTTTTTAAGTGATATTTGATATTATACATTCAACAAAAATGGTTCTTTATTTTATTCTTTTTAGATTTATTTAAACACTAAGGCTAGAGTAGTAAAATGTTTTACAAGTTTCTTAAGTTTGTAATTTAAATAATTTTTTTTTTTTTAGCTTATGTATTTATATTCACTTTTTTTATTATTACTTAGAATTATTTAAACATTAGGACTAGGTAGTAAATATTTTACAAGTTTCTTAGTTTGTAATTTAAATAAATCTTTTTTTTTATTTTAAAACTTTTCCAATTATGAGATATAAATTATCAAAATAATAATTTAAGGCTATTATTATTTGGTAACCCAGTTAATGGTGACCCACCTCATATGTGATTTTTAATTTTTTCAATATTTTATTTTTTCAATATTTATTTTTTTAATTAGTATTCTTAATACTTTTATTTTACATGTAAAAAATTGAGAAATTTTTAATAATAAACAAACAAATCAATGAATAAACAAATAAATGAGCAAACAATAAATGAATGAATAAATATATGAATAAAAGCATGAATAAAACAAACAAAACTATTAAATATAAGAAATGACCACAATTTGTATACATTTTATTGAAAATTTAACATGTATATGCTATAATTGATTACCATATATTGTATGAAATAACATATGGGTAGGATGGTCAGTCATGGTCAGTCATTGGTCAGTCATAACTGGTCAAGAACCTTTGACCAACTGACTGCTATGGCTGACCATTTGACTGACTGCCTGACCGACTGTTTGACTGACCATTTGATTGATAATGTTTTCGCAATGTTTTTATTAAGACAATTAAAAAAATGTGCAAAAACTTTTTTTTTTTAATAAAAAACAATTAAAAAAATGTTGCGAAAAACGTTTTTTAATTAAATTACTAATAAAAAACATCAATTAAATTACTAATAAAAAACGTTTTCGCAATGTTTTTTATTAAAATAATTAAAAACATTTGCGAAAAACATTATTTTTATTAAATTATTAATAAAAAATGTTTTCACAACGTTTTCTATTAAAATAATTAAAAATTCATACATTTTTTTAATTGCCTTAATAAAAACATTGAGAAAACATTATTGGTCAAATGGTCGGTCAAATGGTCAGTCAGAAGTCTTAAACAACCAATATCAGTCACGGTCATGACCGGTCATACTAATCGGTTAATGACTGTGACTGTTGCCATCCCTACATATGGGCTAATTGGATTCATTTCACTAAGTAATAATTAGGTAATAAATTGAGGAATATATTTTATTTTTATTTTATTTTTATTTTTAAAATATAGACATGACTGGGGTCCAACAATACATAAGAACAATTCTAAACTAAAAGTCTACTAAATTCTAAGCTAATGATAAAACCCAACTTCTTGGGAGAGCCCGGAGTTGCCTTGCCTGTTATTCTTTAGAAAGACAAACGGGCATAGCCTTATGTTGTGATAATACAATCAAACAAAAAAAAAAAGAATTTATATGATCCGTATTTTTCTTTCAACTAGGAGAGTTGCTACCTGTAAATATTGTCATAGGTGGAATGTTTAACACTATTTTAAATTGTAAAAAGAGAAAAAGAAAAAAAAATAATAAATTGTTTAAAAATGTATCTAAAATACTAAATACGGTCAAAATAAAATGTAAACACGATTCAATACATTAATTTGAAGACCTAAATTACTAGGGAATCGAAATAATAAACAACTAGTAAAAATAAAGTAAAATTCTAAACCAATGGTCAATGGCTCCAAAAATAAGGAGTCGTCTTAATCAAAAAGAAAAGTGGACTTCAATGTCCTAATTGTTGTTAATACAATCAACTTTAAGGAGGGGCCTACTGGAAACCATTAGGTACCGGAAACCCGTGTGAATTATATTTGGTGGCTTAATTTTTCCCATTGAAAAGATCTAACAATACAATTGGTAAATGGGGAGATGATGATTTAATATTCTCTGCTGACTCTTTGTCTTTTGAATCAGCCGTTGTGTATTCATCAGATGATGAAGATACCTCATTAAAACTTTGAGGTGATGAAAAAAGTGTCAGTTTGGTTGAAGAAGGGGATTTTCCAACTCGAAAAAGTCAAATATCGTAATCGGTATTTGTGTAGGTGTTATAACTGTCATTCCTAACAAGTCAGGAGGAGAACCTTTCTGTGTGAAAAGGTCAGGTAATATCATAATTGGTAAAGGAGAGGTGGGAGGTGGTTCATTATTTTTTGAAGGTCCTGCTATGGCCGGGTGTGTGGGGATGGAAGTCTTCCAACTCATGTTGGACAGGTGAGTTTGAGCTGAATCAAAACTTGCAACTGAAGAAATGTCGGCATCAGAAAAACACATTGGTTGTGAAGAGGATGCCAGGTGTGAGTATAGCGTACATGATTAAACATTTCACGACAATGTTCAAATTTATGCATAAAAGCATTATGTTCATAATATTTTTTGAGCATTGGTATAGTATGTCTATCCCGTGGGTCGGGCGTATCTGTATTATCAAAATATGTTGATGGAGGGGTAAATATCAATGTTCGTGTTTAACTACGGGTAAAGAGGGGTCAACCTTCTGGGTCGAAGAATCATCCAATCGGTTGATCTTAGTACTGTGAATGGATATAGGAAAAGAGTAATTTTCTCTACGAGGATTATTTTCTTTATATTTCAAATGTTTGATAGGTGAATTAATATGTTGAAGGTAAAAAAAAAGAAATTTTTTTTGATTAGCTGCGGCTAAGCGATCATTAACTTGATCAGCGTTCGCCAAATGTGATTTGTCGTGGTTAAAAGTATTTCTACAATGTCGTTCGAATCTTTCATGTTGTTTACTGAAAGAGGTAGATTTGATCAGAGTATTGTGTCTAAGATTTGATAGTCATTTGAAATACATCTCGCAAATATCTGTATTTTCAATTAATTTATGGCCATAATGCACGTATTTGACATTATATGAAGTTCCTTGTCATTTGGAGAAAACATGTTTCTTTGTTTTTATTGAAGATTTGTTAAAAAAATGTGAGGCGTGTCGGCCTTTTGATGTTGTTGAGGTCGGAAGTGAGTCCAGTTTGGTAATATTTTTCACGTTAGTGAAAAGGTTGAGAAATGTGCCTGAATGATAATCAATACAGGCTCGTCGATAGTATGACATAACATAAAGGCAAGGGACAGTACAAATATTTGTGCCGTCATTAGTCCCAGTATTAGAGTGGGGGTGTGAGCATGGTAAAAATATACCAAAATGAAAATGATAATGTTTATAACTAAAATTAAAAAAAGTTTTAGTCGAAGTATTGCGGCATAATTGTGAATCGCCATGTGATTTAATTAGATTAATTCTATCTAATAATTTTAATCGAATATTAAAGATTAAAGTATTTTTGTTGAGTATGATGAGAGATTACTCGCTGATGTAAAAAAAAATGGCATAATATCATACTAATTTGAAATTTTGTGTTAGGGATACGACTCGTGGATTTATAACAAATCGGGGATGATTTCATGTGAAAATCATTTGTGTGTATTTTAAGGTGAATATTAGTGGTGCATTGTTGAGGATCGGCAAGTTCAAAAAGAAACTTTTTAACCTCCTGAAATTGTAAATCTTGTTATGCTCTACCCGATTGAGACGGGTCACGTGAAATTCTTTGAAAGAAATTTCAAAATCGAAACTCTCAAGTTGAGTGTGTGAACGTTTTGAGGATGACATATCATAGTCAAAGGGTGAGTAAAGTGTAAAAAAAACTACAGTCCTTAGGTTGGTGTGAAGTGAAAAGGGCTTTCCATTAACAGCCCGCTATGGGCCTCTTCTCTGCTGCTTAAGCAGTGAAGAAATAAGGTAAATATTTGGGTACTGCGGATTTTTAATAAAAAAACGGAAAAGGAGAGAGTTTTTTTNTTTTTTTTTTTATTGAGGAATATATTACTAATATCATGTGATTCAATCATTTTAGCTAAGAATATCATGTGAAATAAAAAATTTGTCTAGTTACGAAAAAAATACTTCTTTTGAAAAAATATGATACTTCTGATTTCGTTAAGTTTTAATTGCAACAATTGAACTAGGATTAATCCCAAATATAAAAACAGACTGAATAGAACAAAATTTAATATAATATATAAAACATGCTTTGAAAACAATTCTTTATCAGAACTTCAAAAGTTTTGCATATAAACAATAAAGTAAAATCTGAATTTGTCAATTCTTTATTTATTTGAGTATTTTTGTGTTCCAGTTTATACTGACCAATAAATTGCTTAATCTATATCTTTTGATCCCATTTTCCCATTTTCAGTTTCGTACATCAAAGCAAGATTATATTAAGCCACTTATATTATTTGCTAAATCTGCAGCTTTTTGGTATATTCCAAATGCTTTTTTCCTACTAAAATCTGTTCTAATTCCCTTCTATAGCAATTCCCTAAGTTATTCATCCATATGAATCTCCTAAATCTGCTGATTTTGATATACAGTAATTCAAATGAGTTCCAATTTCTTTTCTACAACAACAGCCTAAATTATTTATTCCCTAAATTAACTGCTTTATGAATACTTTTTGTGTATTGACATCAGTTCCCATGGCAACATCCTAAGTTACTTATCCTATTTGAATTTTCTAAATCTGCCGCCTTAAATGCCTTTTGTTAATTAATATCAGTTCCAATTCCTTTTCATAATAATAACCTAAATAATTAATTCCACAGGCTGATTCTAGACAATTCAAAAGCACTTGTTCTATAGTCCAATAATACACATATAAGTAAAGTTGTGCTACATTATTTTCCAAATCTGCAAGTTTTTTGAAAAATTTGAATTACTTAATTATTTAATAACCAAATATAGATTTTATTTGTTTATTCTTACCTTCATTTAATTTCTCATAAATAAGACTAACCAATTTATCAACCAAAATGCTTAAATCAATTGATGTCATATTCATCTCATATAATAGATTAATATTGATTTATTGCCATTATTTGAATCAACTCACTTTGAGAATTTACTATTACAATTTGTTTTCATAATAATTTCTTTTAATTTCGCAACTATTTGATCTATTTGATCTATAGTTGACCTAGCTATTATCTAAATACAATTTTTTTTAAATCAATATTTTATTATTATTTTAATATTAAATAATTATCAAATTGATAAATGTATAAATATATTAAAGTTGATATATTTTATACCAATTTTAATTGATTAATTTATTTTATTTTATTAATAAATAGTTTTAGAATTATAATATATTAATTTTTATTTAAATCGAAAAAAAAAAAAAAATTAATTGTAAGATAAGAAAAATAAAATAAAAGAATATAAGAAGTTATCGGAAAAAGTTTTCTTTAGCCAGTCTAAACAAAAAACAACAAAGGTTACACAAGATGATAAACAAAGTTACACGCGTAATAAGAATAGAAGGGAGGGAAAAATGCCAAGATCTGGGCAATCTCTACAAGAATAATCAGGATAACAACACATCCTCAACACAATACACAAGTGACGGACGGTCATAACAACATAAACAAAAAGGATGTTTAGTGGGTGGTGGAGAAGATATACACCCAGAAACAAATGAACTAACGATTGAAGAGGGGACTTTCAAAAGGATCAAGACAACATAGAAGAAGTAGTCGAAGTCTTGACAAACGAAGAAAGTGTTAACAAATTCTTAGCAAGACAAAGGCTAAGATTTGTTAAGGGAAAGTTGAATGATCAAGAGACAAAAAATTCAATATTTTTAGAAATGCACATTGCAGCACATAATATAGATTGGATTGCTAGTGTCCCGTCTATACAGAAACTTCATAATTTATTGGAATTTATTAAAGAAAACAATATCAACATTATGGCTATATTAGAAACAAATATAGGCTATCGTCAGGAATATTTTATAAACCAGGACATTAAGTCAAAGGTTTATTCAATAATTTTCAGTAAACGTGATCAAAAAACTAAAGGATCGGGAATGGCACTTGTGATTCATAACAAATGGATAAAACATTATTACTCAGTAGTATGCATATCCCATATATTTTAGTAGTTAAATTTTTATTCATACAAAGAGAAATATGGGTCTGGTCAATATACGCCGCTCCTAACAATCAAAACATGAGAAAAAATTTGATTGACGAATTGAAAATAGCTATGGAGGGACATGACTGATCAGTTCACAACACCGTAGTGCTGCACGTTGTATTAGGGGATTTCAATGACACAATTAATAATAGGATAGATCGATCGTCCAGTACTGGACAACCAGGATCTCAATTTCTAATACAACTATCGCAGTTAGGTCTTTATGATGTGTGTAGAATTCTTTATCCAGATGCAGAATTATTCATATATGAGAAATGGGATAAAAATAAATGTAAGACAGGTCCTATCTCAAAATCGAGGATTGATCAAATCTGGATCACACATGAACCCGATGTGATTCCAGTAGAGTTTTCAGTGCATTCATCATAGATGGTCACAAACAGTCATCATAGTATAATTTCAACAACGCTAAACATATCAGGATTCATTAAGAACAATTTCCGGCATTGTGTCCCAGATCAATTACAGGATAGTTTTAGGAGATAAACACCAAAATAAACATATAGTAGATTTTAGTAAAATAACCAATATGCAATGGAAAAATTTTACCGAAACTTTAGATAGAGAAATAGAAGTATAGGACTTCCAACAACTAATAGATGGATTTAATTATGAAATACAATTAGGGGACGAAAAGGACACTGATAGAGAAGAAATAAAACGAAGATTCAATGAACTTTGGGATAATGTTATGAGCGCTATATCTATAGCGATAAACATAGAGCTTCCCATGAAAGTAGTTAAATATCTAGGAAGTCGCAATATAAGACATAAATTATCATTTGCAGATAAAACTATGCGACATACTACTAAATTGGAAAGTTTAATTAGGAAAATATGTAAAGATCAGGATTTCCTTATTGCTAAATATGCCTATTGGATAGATTATTGGTTGAATAGATTTAATAAATATAATGATGATTACAGAAGGAAAGAATACGATAAATTCATAGATAAGCATGAGGAACTTATTATTCCTACACATGACCTTTTTAGTGACATATGGATTAATAATGTTAAAGGTGTAGTTAAACAAAGAATCAAAATAGACAAAAATTATTTACAAGCACAACGTTTAAGCAAGATCCAAGAGAGCATAGAAAAACGATGCAACATTATTCACTCGGATATTCCTAAGTGGCTGTTTTCCACACAGGATGCTGTTAAGGAACATATCATT